ACTTAGCTTTATGCTATGAAGGTGGTAAAGGCACTAATATTAATTTAGAAAAGGCATTTTATTGGTATCAAAAAGCTACAGAAAATGAAGACATTAATGCAATGTTTAATTTAGCTTTATGCTATAAAAATGGCAAAAGCACTAATATTGATTTAGAAAAAGCATTTTATTGGTATCAAAAAGCTGCAAAAAATAATCAAGTTAAAGCAATGTTTAATTTAGCTTTATGTTATGAAAATGGTAAAGGCACAATTATTGATTTAGAAAAATCATTTTATTGGTATCAAAAAGCAGCAGAAAATAACAATATTAATGCAATGAATAATTTAGCTATTTATTATGAAAATTATAAAGGAAATAATATTGATTTAAAAAAAGCATTTTATTGGTATCAAAAAGCTGCTGAAAATAAAGATATTGATGCAATGTTTAACTTAGCTTTATGCTATGAAGGTGGTAAAGGCACTAATATTAATTTAGAAAAGGCATTTTATTGGTATCAAAAAGCTGCAGAAAATGAATATATTAATGCAATGTTTAACTTAGCTTTATGCTATGAAGGTGGTAAAGGCACAATTATTGATTTAGAAAGAGCATATTATTGGTATCAAAATGCTGCAAAAAATAATCATGTTAAAGCAATGTTTAATTTATCTTTATGCTATGAAAATGGTAAAGGCACAATTATTGATTTTGAAAAAGCATTTAATTGGTATCAAAAAGCTGCAGAACATAAAATATTAATGCAATGTTTAATTTAGCTTTTTGTTATGAAAATGGTGAAGGCACAATTATTGATTTAGAAAAGGCATTTTATTGGTATCAAAAAGCTGCAGAAAATGAAGTTGTTGATGCAATGTATAATTTAGGCAATTATTATTATTATGGAATATTTGTTAAAAAAGATATTAATAAAGCTTTTAATTGGTATAAAAAATCAGCTAAGCAAAATTATAGTTATGCACAAAATGATTTAGGATATTTTTATGAAAAAGGTATTAATGTAGAAAAAGATTTAGAAAAAGCATTTTTTTGGTATCAAAAATCAGCAAATAATGAAAATTATATTGCTCAATGCAATTTAGCTATTTGTTATCGATATGGTTTAGGTATTGAAAAAGATATGATTGAAGCATTTAAATGGTATAAAAAATCAGCAGAAAATAAAAATGAATTTGCACAATATAATTTAGGATTATATTATGAAGAAGGTTTTTTTATTAAAAAAGATTTAAAAAAAGCATTTTATTGGTATCAAAAATCAGCAGAAAATGAAAATGATATTGCTCAATATAAATTAGGATATTTTTATGAAAAAGAAATTGGAATTAAAAAAGATTTAAATATGGCATTTTATTGGTATCAAAAATCAGCAAAAAATAAAAATAAAGATGCTCAATTTAATATAATTAAATGTTATATAAATGGAATAGGAATTAATAAAAATTTAGAAAAAGCATATAAATGGCATCAAAGATTAGTAAAAAATGAAAATAAATCTAAAAGGAGTTTTGGAAAATATGAAGTTAATATTCAAAATATTAATCAAAATAACACAATTGAATTTATTAATAAAACCTTAAATAATCAAGTTAAATTTATATTCTTTAATGAATTTACTGATTTAGAGCAACTTGATAAAGGTGGTTTTGGAAGTATTATAAAAGCAACTTGGTTAAAAACTGGTAATTTTATTGTAATTAAAAGGTTAACAAATACAAATATTATCAAACAAGATGCTTTTATTTATGAATTAAAAATTCATTTAAATCTTAATTTTTGCAATCAAATTATATATTGTTTAGGTATTAGCCAAGGTAATTAATAAATTATATATATATATTTTTTAAAAAATAATTGCTTATTAATTTACTAATTATAGATCCAAATACAAATGAGTATCTTCTTTTAATGCAATATGCTAATGGCAGTAATCTTCAAAATTATCTTAAAAATAATTTTAATAATTTAACTTGGTATAATAAGAAAACTTTAGCAAATCAAATTGCAAATGGATTAAATTATTTGCATAATGAAGAAGTATTGCATAGAGATCTTGTAAGTCTTTTATTATATTCATCTATTTTAAATCAATTTCAAAAATTTATTATAATTTAATTTAGCATTCCAAGAATATACTTATTCATAATAATAATGCTAAAATTACGGATTTTGGTATTTCAAAATTTGGAAATAATTCTACTACACATATTGGACCTTGTGGTAAAACTGCTTATATAGAACCACAAATACTTTGCAATCATAATTTTCAGTATATTAAACCTTCAGATATTTATAGTTATGGCGTATTAATGTGGGAAATTTCTAGTGGATATCCTCCATTTAAAGATCTTAATGATGCAACTATCTGTGCTATTATTAGTAATAAAGCTCGTGAAAATACTATACCAGATACCCCTAAAGATTATGAAATACTTTATAAAAAATGTTGGGATCAAGAACCTGAGCAAAGACCAACTATTACAGAAATAATGGAAGATTTCTCGAAGACGAGTTTTATAAATATACCGATTAAAAGTATGTTTAAAGCATTAAGAATTAACATTTTTATAAGTTTATGATTTATACTAATTTATTTAAATTTAATAAAAATGAAGATAACAGAAATTTGTTTGAATTGATCAATAATAAGTTAAATAATAAAATTAAAGTCATACACTTTGACGAGTTAGTTGATTTAAAACAACTTGATGAAGGTGGTTTTGGAATTATCATGAAAGCTACTTGGTCAAAAACAAATAATTATACTGTTTGTAAAAAATTAACTAAAACAAGTAT